TATATTGTGAAATACATTAAGGAGTATAGGTATTAGCTCTTCTTGGAAGTTCTGGTAGAATTCTGCATTGAAACCATCTGGTCATGGGCTTTTTTTGGTAGGGAGATTTTTGATAACAGTTTCTAGTTCTTCGTGACTAACAGGTCTTTTTAGATCATTCACCTGGTCTTGGTTTAGCTTTGGTATATGGTACTTATCTAAAAAAAATGTCCATTTCTTTTGCATTTTCCAGTTTTGTGGCATACAGGCTTTTGTAGTAAGATCTAATGATTCTCTTTCCTCTGTGTCTGTGGTTATGTCCCCCTTTTCATTTCTGATGTTAATTATTTGCGTGTTCTCTCTCTGTCGTTTAATTAGTTTGGATAGGGGTTTGTCCATTTTATTGATTTTCTCCAAGAACCAACTTTTTGTTTCATTGATTCTTTGGATTGTTTTCTGTGTTTCTATTTTGTTGATTTCTGCCCTCAGTTTGATTATTTCCAGTCTTCTGGAAAATAATCCTGGGAAAATCTTTGTTTTATTTTTTAACACATTTATTTTTATAACTCACTATATTCTTTTCTTTCTCATTCCCAAGCCTATGTCCATTTATCCAACAGTGTGAGTTATTTAGAGGTCTTTTCCATCTGGATTTGTCTTTGTTTCATATTTGTAATTATTTTCTGATCAGAAGTGCTTCTAAAAATGCTAAGTGCTTCTTAAGAATCTAAGCTGCACCGTTGCTAGGGTATACATGGTACTTTCTGCTTGTTCTGCACAGTTCAGCATAGTGGAGGAGTCCATTCACCACCTCTGCAAGCAGTGCACATTGTCCCAGTTCCAAGTATGTAGCCAGTCCATGTTGAGCCAGTAAGCAGTTTGTAATATGCAGCTTATAAACCCCATTTAAATATTTGGCCTCCTGAAAGAGCCAGAGGTCATGCTAGCAGAATGGTCTAGAAAGCTGGCATTTCCAAGCCTCGTGGATTTTTTTCTGCTGCTGAGTCAGGAAAACCTCTCTTAAAGGAGCAGCAGTACACTGCCAGTAGTCATAGCATACTGAAGGAAATCCCACATCAAAATCTCATTTACAAATGAATGGGCAGGAAGCCAATTGTGCATTATGTCTAGCAACCATGCATTTATAGGATAAGAAACTACAAGAGCAGGATAGTCACTAATGAAAGTTAGTTATCCTCACAACAAAAGCCAAGTTAATGATGTGATCCAATGTATGAGTCTGATCCATTTGTTCCTCAATGTACACCTACATATCACTTTGAACATAGAAAAGTGTGAACATTTTAAATTTTGTCTCTTATTGGGGGTGATCTTACATCCAGAGAGTTTGAAGAAGATGGACATTTAGTGGCCCAATAACAGGGCCTGTAGTTAGAAAAGGCACATATACTTGGAATGAACAAGGAGGCAGCAGGCTCTATAGCAGATGTGTACAGCCTAGGATGTTCTGCGATTTCCTTGGGTGGATCTTTGCTAGACCAATAAGTGTCCAGACTTAGTTTCCTCATTGTCATATGATGGGAATTAAAATTCATGGAAAAAGTCAAGATGTTATAAAGTTGCACTTTGACCATATCTGGAGAACTTTAAACTTGGTAAGAATATGGAATGGTGTGTCAAAGTTGGTTCTGCACTCTAGCAATGTCCTGACTGTGTACAATGACATTCTGTTATCTCTCTCCTAGGATCTCTTCCCAGACCTTCCATCTTAGCTGAACCAGGCCTTGTGATACGCCAAGGGCATTTTGTAGCTTTTGTGTGCTCAAACCCTAGTGGATATGATATATTCCGTCTGGAGAAGAAAGGTCACAAAGTCATGGATAAAGAGAATATTGGGCCTTCAATTACAGAGGCAAGATTCCACCTTGGCCCAGTGAACGAAAGCACTGCTGGGATTTATTGCTGTATCTATAAGAAAGAGCCCAATTGGTCCTTATACAGTGAGACCCTGGAGCTGAAGGTGACCAGTGAAGATGTTACCAAGTCTCCTAACCCAGGTTCAGCAGAGACCCCAGGTTTATTCCTAGGTCTGTGGACTCTAACCCTAGCTACTATTCCCTTCCTTATTTCCTATGTTTTTTTCTTAGCCCCAAACCTTATTTTCTCACCTCTATCAGCAAGGTACCCTCTGCCCATATGCCCCAGGTCACTGGAAATTTAGATTTAGCAGACACAAAGAGTGACCTAGATGCAGGTACAAATTGGGTGTTAGGATACAAATCTGTCCCTAATTACTGGGGAGAGAGTGATTCTCACAATGGTGGGGTAGACTCATTTCAAGTTGCTCTTTTCATTGGTCATGCTGAGTTATTCTTTCCTTCCACTGAGTCTGAGCCTGTGGTGACTACAGAAAGATATCTCCTCTGCTGTAATCTCCTGTCATTAGGCAAGTCATGTGGTCCAGGGAGGGCTGGTGGGCAGGCCTGGACTATTATTTTGGGGGTATTTTCATATGTAATGGTCTCTGTTTAGTCAGGAGTCAGGGACCAGGAAAAACTTTTACTCCACCTCCATATCCTCCCAGGTCTTTCTTTCACAGTGTTGATTCTGTGATGACAAACAAAGTGAATGAGTGACAAAAGTAAGGAAAGATCAACACACAATAGCAGATGTTGAAAGGGGGTCTGTCTGACTTCCTCTTTTTCCTGTCTTGTTATTTCAGGCCTTTCTCAGGGTCTGGGATTGAGTGATTGGCAAGTTACCCCTTTTGGATCACTTCTTAGTATGGAGAAAAGGTCTATAAAGATGTCCTCATAAGATCTGCCTCTTTTTGGGTAGTATTTTAATAGGGATTATATGCTGGGTTAATGTACCAACCAGCTTCTGCTTAGCTTTGGAGTGAGGATCAAGATGTCATTGATGGGATTTTGTTGTTGTTGTTTTGTTATGCTGTTTTTTAAACAACAACAAAGGTTCTCTTTATATAATCCAAGCTGGTATTTGAACTTTGTACATAGACAGTCTGGTCTAATCTCACTGAGATCTTCTTTCCTCTATCTTCTGATCTTGGGGATTAAAGGAATGAACCCCAAATCCCAATGGCCTTTCTATTTTTAAAATGGAGAAAATTAACTTTCTTGATCAAAAATACCAAGTTCTGAAGACCCTGGCACAGAAGCAGTCCCTGCAACAGTGCACATACCTTTATGCTGTTCTCTTGTGCTTTGAGCCTCACTAAACACATTATTCTCTTTTGCGTGGAGCTGATTAAGACCTTCTTTTCAAGCTCAAGGTCAATGACAGCTAACAGGACTTTATCAATATCTGTGCTTGTCTAGGATGTAAGAATCTCTTAGAGGAAAGTTACATGAGAAGACTGTGCCCTATGAAAAGTGGCCAGACTGGGGTGCTGTGTGATAGCAAATGAGCTTTTCTCACTCCTCCTGCCTCTGATTATCTGGCTGTATTGTTTCCTGTACTCTGTGGCCACAACCCTCTGGGGAGTTGTGGTCCTGAGTCGTTATGGACTCTCTGATGTAGGCTGTGTTAATGTGAGGCTAAGCTCTGAGTTCAGGCAGGTGGAACATTAGACAGGGACAAAGGGTGAGGAAAGATAGAGGGGAGGAGGATACTGTCACGTGCAGAGTTCTCTTCTGGGCTATTGTGTTGGAACATGTCATGATGTGTTTCCAAGCTGAATATTTTGGATCACCATCTTGTCTTTGATATTATTAACAAATAACTTTTCACTTTAAATGCACTGAATGAATGGTGAGTCAAACTGGACACTCACAGTGAGGGACAAGAAATGACACAGCCCTTGTGAGCATTAATGGAGAGATAGAGTGAGTGGTTCACAGAAATGCATTAAGAATTCAGATATGAAACTTAAATTTTATTGAATAATATATTTATCTTAAAATTAAACCTATAGGCAATATTACTGATGCAACAATATAATGTATCTTTACACTTGGATATAATGTATGTTATTCCATTTTAAATAACATATTATGCTATTTATTATTTATAATATATGATTTAACAGATGTTATTTATTACTATAGTCTACATACAGGCACATGTCATTTATTCTAAGATAGTTATTTATAAATGGTACTTCAAAGAAAATGTATAGGAACAAATTATATAAGTAAACAATTTATCTAATAAATATATATTAACATATGTATTAAATATCTATATGTTAATATATAAATATCATATATTAAATATTTAAATTTTAAATATATGAAAGAAGTTAATATTATATAATTTTGTTTAATATTTTATTCTTTACTTTTTGCATGGGAATGTATGTAGTGTGCACACCTACGTATTGGTATATGATGTGAGCATGTCTTCATATTCACATGTATTGACATGTGACATATACATTCATCTATGTATAGGTACACAATTGATGCTGAATGCCTTTTTTGGTTGTTCTCCACTTTACACATCATTGAGGTGTCTCTTTCGTACCCTGCAGTTCACTGATGCGGCTAATCTGTCTAGCCAGATTGTTCTAAGGGTTCTCTGTCTATGTCTCGTCTACACTGGATTAGAGGCTGGAGGTCAGGTCCACATGACTTTTTCTGTGACTTCTGAACATCTAAACTCTGGTTCTCATTCTTGCACACTAAGTATAATATTGCACACAAAGTGAAACTCATTAATCAATATCCACAGCACCTTAGCTGTACTTATGTATATTACATGTGAATATATAACCATGTTTCACTTGACAATGGGGCATTGCTCTAGGAAACATATCCAGAGTCCATGTAGTTGTATGATACCTGTGTTTTGAGAAATCTATCATTTGTGCCATCTTATTAACAAGATGTTATTCACACCAGTTTAGAATTAATAGTCTTCTGCACATATGCCCACGTGGTACATAAAGCAAACAACTTCTGGACAGCAGTACTGCAGAAAGGTTACCTTGAATGATGCAGGGGACCAACCTCAAGGCAGACACTATGACACTAGGGCATAAAACATCTTCAGTTCATTTATTATCTGACTAAATGCCTGTGGTTAATTATAACATCATTACACACTCTACTTATATGATATGTAATATCTAGCTATAAATATATTATATGCATGTAGATGACATACATAATTAAATTTCCAATAAGATACATGAAAGGAAGGAATCTCAAGACAGGGTCTTGAGACTTGAACATGGACAAAGATTTGAAGAAAAGCATAGAGGGATAGTTCCTGATTTTTTAAAGACATTGAAGATTCTGCCTCAGTAACAAGGTCAGGGAATAGGTACCATTCAGTGAGAGAGGACAGGTGGGATCCGTTTTGTGTCATCCCCTGTAAAATGGCAGAGTGCATGCACGGGTGGAAGATGGCACATGTGCAATAGGTACTTAGATGTTCTCTGCAACACATCAGGCAGTAGGATCACATTGGGACTGAGTTCCTTCCTGGGATTGTATGTTTCTTTTCTTATTGGTTGTCAGCCTTTGCAAAATTCTGTAAAGAATGGTGGACATGTTGTCTGACATGATGCCAATAATAAAGTTATTTCTCTTATCTGTGGGAACCACAGTAGATTTCGCTAGTGGGCCACGTGTGACTTTTGAGTCCTTAAAAGGGTTATGCCAGGGGTAGGGTGTCTCAAAGCACAAAGAAGTTTAATACTCTTCATGGGTAACACAAAAATAATGAATATGTTCATAGTCATATTTCCATGAATACCATGCACCACTCATTATATGTGTGTTATACAGTGGGTGCTCAATAAGTGCATGCTGCTGGTAACCTGATTCCTATCTATGATGGTTGCTCTTGATTTTCAACCTAAATGCATATAATTCAGATCTTGGAGATAGAAAAATATGCCTTTAATGCAGATCTCTCTCTCTCTCTCTCTCTCTCTCTCTCTCTCTCTCTCTCTCTCTCTCTGTGTGTGTGTGTGTGTGTGTGTGTGTGTGTGTGTGTATGTCTCAGTTTTTTGAGACAGGGTTTCTCTGTGTTGTCTTTATGCTTGCCCTGGAACTAGCTCTTATAGGCCAGGATGGCCTCAAACTCATAGAGATCTGACTGTTTCTGTCTCCCAGGTATTGGGATTAAAGGCATGCACAACCACTGCCAGGCTAATCCATCGCTCTTAAAATTGGGGAAAAAACCCACTTAAGGTATCAATTTACCTTAGGATTTCTATTGTTGCAGCAAAACACATTGACCAATGCAACTTGACTAGGAAAGGGTTTATTTAGCTTATACTTCCACAGCACTGTTCATCATCATAGACAATCAGGACAGGGACTCAAACATGGAAGAAACCCAAAGGAAGAAGCAGATGCATAGGCCATGGGGGTGATGTTTACTGGGTTGCTCATCATGACATGCTCAGCCTGCTTTCTTATAAATACCAGAACTTTAAGTCCAGGAATGAAACCACCAGGAGTCATGATTGTGTGTCAAGTAATCAAGGGGTTGACTTGTGATGGCTACTCATGGTTACCATCATGACAAGATCTAATTCAATAGTTGAGGTATGAAATCATGCTTTTAATCCTGATCGTTTGAGTGAAAAAAAAAAAACACCCAATTCCTAGTACCAACTTGTTCTACTTAGGGTCTCTCTTGTTCGGCCTCCCAAGTTCTCTGGAGGTATATAAGGGAAGATTAACAGGGAAAGTCACTGGACTTATAGAAAGAGTATGCCTACTGCCTAGGTATCCAGGAGCAGGTGATAACAGACCCCTGTCCCTTTGGTATTAAATGAAGGTTCACCCACTGATAAGTGTCTCCAGACTTGATGGAATAAGAAAGAAAGGAAAGCAGACCATTGGATAAAGACCCAGTAGAAGACTTCAGTGGTACAGTAGAAGAAGATCTCATATCACAGTGACCCGTCTAAGACCTCCAAGTTATCTTGGACATGTGAACGACAGAGAGAAAGCAAAGGGGGTTTCTAAGAACAGTAAAAAGAAGAAATGACTGGTGACTCCAAGTTGTTGGAGATGATGCTATGAGGTCACATTTTTGTGTGCAATGAACTTCTCTTCTGTGTCATAAATTAACCAAGGAGGTCCAGCATGGCCACATAAATGGCTACCAAATCATATCGATCTTGGTGTTTGTACACAGGGCAGTCCTAGAAGATTTTATCTTCTGTGAGTGCCAAGTGGAGTCTCAGTGCATTTGGGTCTCTGAATAATGGCTCCCAGCTCATAATAGAGATATTTAATGGCCATATCCTATATCTTTGGTTACATGGAGGCATGACTGAGAGACAGATAGGTCTGCATTTACATGTCTTGGCCTTTTACTTTGCAGATTATATTATTCTTTCTCTATTCCCTATTCTACATGTTTTGATTATTATGCAGCAAAAAGTTTTCTTCTGATCCAATCTATTTGGTGTTCTGTAAGATTCCTGTATTTTTATAGGCATGTCCTTCTTTATGGTTTACAGAGAGATAAAAATCCAGAGAGAAGAATTTAATGGAGAGCCAATTTCAGCATCGCATTATAAGTCTAAGGATTTCAGACAACCAACTTTAATATATCTATTAACCTTACAGGAATGACCAAATATCCGAGAATTTCATAGCAGGTCCTGTCCCTGGAACCCACTTGCTTACTGTGTGAGAGCCTGAGTATGTACCCAGTGATCTAAGGGTGCAGGAATAAGGAAAAACAGAACCAAGACATAAAGCATTGCAAAGAGAGTTGTGAATGGTGTGGCCATCAAGTGAAGGCTCAGGATGCCAAAGCCAGCCAAAAAGAAGGAAAGACCCCTCATTCCTTCATTCCTCTTCTTTGAGTCCAAGCAGACACTGTGAAATTGGCCCCTTTCTATTAAAATTAGCTTCCCCATGGGTAAATGGCATGCCTGATGATGGCTTCTAACTTAAAACTGAAGCAATAACTCTCTTTCAGATTTCTTAGTCTGAGTTTTTTCCCACCAGGAACTGACTACTTATTATTGTTTCCCTTTCAGTCTTTACCCTTCAGAGTTACACGGTGTGGAATGGTACCCGCATGGCCCTTGCTGGAGTAATCTTGTTTGTACTGGGAGTAATCATTGGAGAATATTGGCACAAGGAATGAAGGTCCTCACACATCTTAGGTTCCATGAACCTAGGAGGCACAGTCAATGACACCTAGGCGAATCTTGACATGCAAGAAGACCAAGGTCTCCTGGATGGAGCGGGGCGGGCCTTTGACTTCCCACAGGGCAGGGCACCCTGACTTCTCTTAGGACTGGAGAGGGAGGGGGAGGGGAGTGGGGAGAGTAGGAGGAGGCAAAAATTTTCAATAAATAAATAAAAAAAAGACCAAGGCCTCACAATATCCCATGAGATATATGGGTATGGACTCTGTTACAAATTAATTTTCTTCAATTCACATCAGGGAGTTGAAATGAACCATCACATTCTATCTCCAGCTTCAGGTATCTGTCCATAGGATTTGCTTAAATGTGCAACTTCATAGTCCTGGATCTCACTGCATCTCTTTTTTGAATCTTTCTTGCTTCTGAGACCTGTTGCTTCCCTAAACTTCTTGCCCATTTTGGTCCTTAAAATAAAGTAAGATCCTTGTGAGATGCATATAAATGAATTTTATTTATTAAAAGTATATGTTTTCAGGTAACTATAGACAACTAAGAAATGCAGAAAATGAGAAAAATAATCTTCACTAATATAGAGAACACCTGTAAAATAAAACCATTTTCCAAACTAATGGTTAACAGCTTTAGTATCAACACACAGAGGCAGAGACAGGTGACCCTCTGTGAGTTCAAATCTAATCTAAATGGTGAGTTTTAGAACACTCAAGCCTACAGAAAGAGACTTTTCAAAAAAAAGAAAGAGAAAGACCAACAACCTCAAAAGAATAAAACCATTTTATTGATTTGCATAGTTGTAGGAATCAGTACACCCATTCACCCACAATTGTCCAGCATTTGGCATTACCCTCTTATACCCAAGTTGAGGACCTAAGAATTAGAATCTACTAATATTTGTCACTCATCAATTGTATCAGCTTTATGGGAAACAGGAACTTACTCATCATGTCACAGTATTCTGAAAAATTGGTATCTGTCACCAGTCTCAGCAATTGCACATTCCATGATGAATTAATGAATTTTTATAATATTATGAATTTTTATTTTCTTATAGCTTTGGACTTAGTCCATTTCCAAAGAACTCACCATATTCTGGCTTAGTACCATTCTATAATCCTGTGTTCCTTCTTAGGATCCCTAGCCCATCTCCATTCTTTGTTTCCAATACCTAGAAACATATTTTACCCACAACAAGGAAGCCATACCTGGAAGGATCCAAGAACAACTACCCACAAGGTGTTATACAGCTGCCGCACACTTGTAAAAACAAGACAGTGCAACAGAAACCAAGGAAAAAAGCATCCACCGAACAAAGGTAAGGTCATATATCAGCAGCTTGAATTATATTCATCATAAATACAGATGGCAAGACATCATTATAAAACACAATCAATAATAACCAAAACAATATGTCTGCAGTAGAGCCTAGCAACCCAACCATGCAGAGTACTGCGCAGCCTGGAAATATCTCAGTGTATGATGGCTGGAATCTCTCCTGCTCTCCTGCCTGTGCAAGCCTAGTAGACCTGATCCTATCACCTGCCCAGGTGGGAAGTGCTGAGCCATGGGCATGGTCTCAGATACTTTCCTCCTGACCCCAAGTGGGCACACAAACACTGGGTCCACAAATGCCATTCAAATGCTCTATAGTCAGTGTTTGCCCTGGCAGCACAGGGAGCCATTTTAAAACTACACATCTTTTTTCTTGCTACTGCTGAATAAATCAGGAAAACCTCTCTTAAAGAAGCTGAGGCACACCACCAGCAAGCAGCAAGAAGCTGTGTTAAACTCTGCATTTTTGTATCTACAATTCCTTTTTCAAGACATCTCAGGTTTTAAGTGGATTTTAGTCAACCACATACTCATAAACTCTAGAGTTTTGGAAGTTGCTTACAATGCACTACCTGTTTACTTAAGTAATAAGTAATATTATATCCTTTTGCAGTCTTTTTAAAAGATGAACATGGGATGTACTCACTCATAATTGGTTTCTAGCCATAAATAAAGGACATTGAGCCTATAATTCGGGTTCTTAGAGAAGCTAAATAAGAAGGAGAACCCAAAGAAAATCATATAGGCATCCTCCTGAATATTAACCTTCATCAGGCAATGGAAGGAGACAGAGACAGAGACCCACATTGGATCACCGGACTGAAATCTCAAGGTCCAAATCAGGAGCAGAAGGAGAGAGAGCACAAGCAAGGAACTCAGGACCGCGAGGGGTGCACCCACACACTGAGACAATGGGGATGTTCTATCGGGAACTCACCAAGGCCAGCTGGCCTGGGTCTGAAAAAGCCTGGGTTAAAACCGG